TGTTTTCTTGCTCTGCTTGAGATTGGAAGGTCAAAAATATACTAAAGCATAGGTTAAATCCAGAGTGATTTTTGTCCTCTCAAGGCTCTGCTTCTCACCAAATGTGTAGGGCCTACATTAGAATGAGCATGAGGACTGTCACAATGTGAGCTAGCATTCCCCTTTAACCTGCTATGCCTTGAGAAGCCTTGAACCCAATGAATTAAAAGAAAACCCCCCAAAACTGAACTACTTACGATGCAGCCTTGATGTCCCATGCAATAATGTGCAAACCTTGCATGTACCTTTTATAGTTTGCTTTATCTTTGGAAATGGTTCAGGAATGATATGTGTATTTATTTCAGATTATAGTTTACAGCTAAGCTGGAACACGATTTTAATGGCTGCTTTCTCTGGAAACTCCAGAATCCATAGATGCAGATTTCTTGAATTCGTGTGCTGAATCCCAGGATAGGATTGGAGCTCCAGAGGTAGAGTAATTCCCAGTAAGCAACATATCAAGAATGAGACATGAAAGAGAATTATGTGGACCTGGGTGTCTTTTCCTGGCTGGGAAGGCTTTTATTTTTAGTGATGTCTGGTTGGTCTGTAGGGGAACTACTGGGGGAGTTAGTAGGGAACTGCAAAGATTTTTAAGTCCCCTTCCTTGCCATTGATCAAGTAATTTCAGAAGTGGATTGCTCCTGTGTTTCTGGGTCTTTTGTGCCCATTTCCTGACATTCCCTTGGTATCCCTGTAACTTCATTGTTGAAACAAGTAGACACACTGTTGCCTCACATTTTGAATCCTTACTGTTCTACTCATGTAAGCCAAGTTTTGAGAAAGGCCTTCTCTGAGTGATGAACTGAGAGCTAGCACACTCAAAATGTGTCTGAGTAACATACAAAATTCTCCCAGAATTTAGGACATGACTGGTTTGTACTAAAAATTGTGAAAAACATGCAGTGGAAGTGAATAAGACTAGGTCTAGGAACCGTTGGACCTGTTTGTCTTTAGGAGGAGGCTGTAAATGAACACAAGAAGAAATGAGACCTGAGCTAAATCCCCCTAAAAAGCTTTATCACCTGAGCTATGCTTTATGGCTTTATGGCTGTATGGCTGTACATGTTTGCAGAGCTGACATTCCCTAATCTCCACCACTGGGAATGACCAAATGCATTCCAGCTGTGTGTAGTGGTGTTACACAGCTATCACCCATGCTAGTGGCGTTGATTTCTTTAAACAGTAGCAAAATATTAGTATTTCCGTAAAACTGTTGTTGATACTGATTTAGAGCTCAGTGCTTCTGTCTTTCATGGAAGTAGCATTTTAGTTTGTAAACCTGTTCAGATCAGTGATGCAGGAGAATCAGTACATGCCCTAGTACACTGACAAGTTCCAACACTTGTTCAAAATGAGGAGGGAAGAGTCTTTCTTGTTTAATGTAAGAGCTGGTGGAAAAGATTGGAGTTAGGATTTTATTAGAGTTAGTCTGTTGCTAAGAGGAGAGGACTGGATTTCTGGTGTTGCAGGATGCTGTGGCTCTCTCCTGGGACACGACACGGTGTTTCCTTGCATTGCTGATGTTTTCCCTGCCACGTGTCAAGTCCCCAGGAGCCTTGCAGAACTTGGGACTGCAGGTCTCTCTGGGTGAACCTCAGGCTTGTGTTTTATTATGCTTTTAATATGTTACAGGCTAGGTTCAGGGCTTAGTTGAAGATACAACCGTTTGGTTTTGTTTTTAAATATATTTCATTCAGATATTTATTTGGGTAAATATATTCTCATGACGTTTCTACACCTATTTCTTGGACGTTTACCTGCCCATTTATCAAACATGGGGAAATGGGAGTGAATAAATGATTAGCTCTTTCTTCCTTCTTATTCATTAACTTAGAGCTTGGGTTTCATTCCTGGAAAAATATCCACTAGGTTGTTCTTTTAAATCTCCAGGAGGCTCATTCATGCAATGATTTGCAGAGCAGTAGTGTTCACTTTAATGTGAAACAGTCAGTCTCAGGTTTTGCAAAGCCTGGAGTTACTCATAGTCAGAGTTTCTCTCCAGGATTATCAGTGGCTGCAGTGAAGGTTTGTGTTTGAAATTAAAAAATGAAAAAAATTTGTTTGCAAAGAGTAACAGAATTTTGCAAATGTTTGCAAAGTAACAGAATTGGTTTTTTTTAATTTATTTTGCTTTAATTGCCCTGTGTGCCAACTTTCCCATGCACAGGACTGAAGGTTTGCTCAGCTGCTATGTACAAAACTTGGTGACCTCTATCAAGGTGCAAGGAATTGGGAAACTCCATATGTCAGAGTTCCACAGCCACAAAAAGTTGATGTGGGAAAAAAATTTACATGAATCAAGATTTATTTATCTATTTTCACCCAATGAAAAATGAAAGGGTGTCAGCTGTCACCTTGAGTGTTGTTGGTTCAACCCATAATCCCACTTAAGCCTCCCTTAAATCCTGCTGTACAGAATATTAGTATCTGCATATTAACATTAACCAGGTGAATTTTATTCTTTTGGGGAGTAGATGTAAAATTTCAGTTTTAATGTGTGAATGAAATTGATCTCTAGATTCACAAAGATAAAACTCTAGATAAAAAGTCAGAAAGGTGGCTTGTTAAGCTCCCTTGATTTACACTATGTGCTTAACTAGATCGCCCCAATCAAAGTTTTGCAACATTTTGTTTATAGGGCCTCACACTAAAAGGGATTTATTAGCTTCTCAAAATAATCCATGACAATGCCAAACTACAGGGAAGTTTTTCTCCTAATATCTAACCAATATTACTTCTGTTGTGAAATACGTCAAATAAATCTTGACCTAAACCCAGTGGATATTTCTAATAGTTGATGGTGACACTTCACAGACAGTTTATGTTTCCATGCTCCTCTCCAGGCTTTTCTTTACTGATGAACACATTGCCTTCAGCTGCTCTAAAGTTTTCTAAATCTTTTGCTATTTTTAAGACTGCAGTCTGTGTGCCTTTTTCCTGAAGTATACTCTCCAAACTTGAAAATGGCTCTGCTTCTGGCTACAGTATTACCCTAATTATTCAAACTGGAATAATTTCTCACTGGATCTTCTCTATAATACTCCTAGTAATGCAATTGGGAATGAAACTTACTTTATTTTGGTTGTGACAAAAGAGTACACATTCCAAATTATTCACTGTTGGATTCTTTTCCAGGCAGTTATTTCCTGGTGTGACTCCAATATTTGATTTTCTGTCCAAAGTGTTGGACAGTTTGGAAACAGGCTGAAATGAGGGGAATTCTTCAACAGACTTTGGCTCATTCACTCCTAAAGCTGATCTAAAAATTCTGTCTATAGAGATGTGTCCAGAAACATAACCTCTGCCTCCCAAACCAGCAAAAAAATCCCCAACACACATCACCAGTATTACAGCTGCAGATTACAGTGTTTGATGCATGAGTAGCTTTTATTGGCAGCAAGGATTGGGGCATGTGTATGTGCTGTTAGCAAGCAGTGAGAGTTTGCAGAACATCTTCTCTCACGGTCCCAGAACCACAGAAACGGAACCTGAAGAAAGAATAAATGCAAACATCTTCAGTTGTCAGATTTTGTGCTACTATCACTATGTAGATGACCACAACTACTTGTGCAAAGGCCAAGAGACAGTCGAAGAGTGAGTGCCTATCTACAGAAATACACTTTGTCACAATGTGCTTTGGTCAATAGAAATTACAGCTGGCCTTAGGACCTCAGCCTAAAGGTAATGGTGTGGGGTGGAATAATTTCACTCTGCTAGAAACTGTTCTGAAATCATTTCACTTTGCTTGAAACTGTTTCTGTCTCCCAGGTTTCCTTTTAAGTGATGGAATTTTAACTATGCATTTGTATATGGGTATAGAACACACACTGTACTTTCTCTTCCAGATACCAAATCAAGGGGTGGATAAAATAAAATAAGAGACCAGGGACATATTTTCAAAAAGTCCAGAAAAATCAGTAAAATAGGATCAGTACATCGTATTTCTACAATCTCAATACCCAAGCCATATTCCATGAAGTCTAAAGAAATCAATTTTAACCTC